ACGTGGGGTCAGAGTGACTTCTGGAAGGTCCGTCTACGAAACTCTGGAGTCGGGATACTGAAGCTAATTAGCAAAGTGACAAATTCTATATTTGTATTAATTCTCTCCATATATACATAAATATATAAAATCGAACATTGACTGCTGGTGTTAGTAAAATAGTGCTGATGATTGCATTTTGCATGAAACTCTGAGTCGTGCTACCGGTAAGGAATATATATATATATGAGGTAAGTGAGTGAGACGGACATACAAATCTACACTGCATGGTGACAGTTTCCAGCTTCAATACAATCTTAAATGTAACTACAAAGAGATCAACATTTAGTCTAAAGATCGCATTCAAGCGTTAATATATACATTGTTCGGACTGCTGTCCTCATCGTTATTGTCATATTCACGACGTTTCGGCCGTCATACGCTCCGGCCTTCTTCAGATGATATACGTTGGAATATCGAACCGAACCCTTTATTGAGTTCACAGGGATAGACTGTTCTCGTTCGACTTCCATTTTAAACACCGCTCTCGTATTCCAGTAGCCTTCCCAAAGGGGTGCTGCTCTTTGTCCTTTAGGCGAAATACTGTGCGGGTCCCAAGCTGAACTTAAAAGTCATCGAAAGCACAAACACAAGTTGGGCATCGAGAGAGTAATAACGTTCATTCTTCGAAAATGATGGGAGACTCCATTACACGAACACATATAAGAGATGCTGAAAACTTTTCATGTTTGATCTGATTTGTACGCCTATGTGGGCGTGTGGTACTGTGCCTAGTAACGTAATCTCGTAGGCCATTACTACCGAAGTCGATTCAATCCAAACTTGTTGACTAGAAAGCTCATTACTGTGACTTTGTGACAAACTAAATTGTTCTTGGTAAATAGAAAATAGTGTTTTTTGTAGAGTTGAAGCCTCACTAGGTGACCTTCTTATGCGGCGGTTCATCCATGATTATATGACTATAACCTATTTAAACTGGCACTAAATCTGTACTAAGATCTGCACACAAACACACACACACATATATATATATATATATATATATATATATATATATATATATATATATATGTATATATATAGTATCGCACATTGAGTGCTGCTGTAAAAAAAAAAGTGTGTTCGATGGATAACAGAAATAAAATTTATACTAATGAAAATATAGATTTTGTGCCCCCTGCAGTATCACAACTTTCAGCTTCATGTACGATGCACACACACACACACACATATATATATATATATATATATATATATATATATATATATATATATATGTGTGTGTGTGTGTGTGCGCTCAAAACACACTAATATATGCATATATAAAATAGATTGAAAGGACAAATAGATATGAAATGATTCAAATTATTATGAATATAAAGATAATTAAAAACAGTTATATATATATATATATATATATATATAGAGAGAGAGAGAGAGAGAGAGAGAGAGAGGAGAGAGAATAAGGGAGAAAAAGAGAGGGTATGAACTGAATAGGATATATATGAACCCTTATATAGATAAGGACAGACTGAGATAGACACATAAAATTATACATACATATATATATATATATATATATATATATATATATATATATATATATATATATATATATATATATATATATGAAGACAGATATATATATATATACAGATGTATAACAAAAAATGTTAATATGCAGTTCAGGGTGTCTGAAAATTTTAATTTTTAATATTTTTATTGTTAAAATATATATATATATATATATATATATATATATATATGTGTGTGTGTGTGTGTGTGTGTGTGTGTGTGTGTGTGTGTGTGTGTGTGTGTGTGTGAATAGATATTTTGTCATTAAGCATGTTATAAAGAGGGCACTCATACTTAACATCAGAAAGTTGCAGTTAATATTCTAGGGCACATAATGAGGAAAGAGGGCTTGGAAAATTTGATACTCACAGGACAGATTGCAGACAAGAGGAACAGGTGAAAACAACTCATAACCTATCTAGTGAGATTGAATAAATGGATGGCAAAACAGAGTATAGGAGAGATAACTAAAAGACATAAGACACGAAACTGTGGAGAGCCATGATCGCCAACGGCCTGAAGGGTCATGGCACATAGAAAATATTATTTCAGTTTCAGACAAAGAAAGATTCTCATGAGTATGGCAGTGAATGTTGAACAATCTCCTCACAGTTGCAAAAAGAGACTCGGAATAACAGAAATCTGGGTTCTACTGAGAATACCATGGACAGTACATGTGAGCAACGAGCAAGTTATAGAGACGATATAAACGAAAAGGAGAATTATACTTAACAAGAGAAACTAGGGCACATAATGAGGAAAGAGGGTTTGGAAAATTTGACACTCACAAGAAAGATTGAAGGTAAGCGCGACAGGTGGAAAACAACGCATAGCCTATCTAGCTAGCTTGTGTAAATGAATGGCAGAACAAGGTTTAGGAGCTCGCAAAAAGATAAAATTTATTTAGCGCTACAAAGGACAGGAAATTCTGGAGAGCAATGATCGTCACCGGCAAATGATCGACACTGTAAATAAAAGAATCCATATTCTAGAGTTAAATTCATGAAGAAACACCTATAAAAGACATATATCTACATAGACGTATATGTACATTTGTAAGTCATATACAAATCAGTGTGAATATGTGTGTGTGTGCATATGAATATACCTATGTGTGTATTTATCGGTCTATTTGTATTACTTACAAAGTTAATTTTTAAATAAAAACCACTTCTACGAAATTTATGGCTTTATACATACCTACATATATACCTACCTGAAATTGCCACGGGTTACCTATATATACATTTGTGTTTCTGCAAGGATGTCCAAGGGTTGTAAACACTCTGTTGTTCTTTCCTCTTCTTTGTCGATTGAACTCATACACCTCCGTTTAGTCCCTGCTTGTTTGGCGCGAATTTCTCCCTTTGGTTAGGGCGTAGTCCTAACACACACACACACACACACACACACACACACACACACACATTAAACACAGTTTATTATTTCGGTAGTCGTAGATTTTTGGTAAAATACAAAAGAAGAATCTGCAATGTTAATGGTTATGACATGACATGTCGGCTTCAGTCACTTTCCAACCGCCGTAACGAAGCTGATGAACATTCCTCTATGGTACCTAGACATTGTGAATTTAAGCACAGTACAAGATCGAAGAGTTCGAATTCCAGTCGAATCCACTACATTCACTTACGTGCTAATACCCTTGGGAAAGGTATGAATCCTCTTCTTCTCCCACCAGCTATGGGTAAATAGCAGGACAGACCGGGTTCTATAGCCTTGAATGGCAACTGGTCTATCGCAGAAAGAAAAAGCAATCTGCCTCGTCAGTCATGTATCAAAAGATACATGATCGCCTAAGCGTGTATCACGCATGGCACATAACTGACTAGATTGGCTGCATGCGCCTCATTAGTTGAAATGATGATGATGCAACCGTAATATCTATGCTAAGAGAATGGCGAGATGCAACCGTAAATTCTATGCTAACAGCTTCTTTCGCAGTTTCTGCTTGCGGAACTCCCTTTTGGCTTCTTGCTTTCCAGTCAGCTTTGATCTTCAAAAATTTAAATGTAATGTCAATCGTTATCTTTTGTCTTAATTCCCGTTATTTTATTGTTCTCTCTCCTTAATGTTATTTTCTGTTTCTCACGTTTTCTCAAATTCAGTAACCCTTTGAGTTTTAGTGGCTTTATTGTTTTGCTTGGGGTGTAAGATTAAATGCAAAAAGAAGTCCTTCGTTTCAATATGTTTTATTGAATGGAACAGGCGGAGGTTCTGCTGGTGTGGAATATGTCGTTTGATGTCGTACCTTGAAAATGACGGTCAAAAATGCTCAGAACATTACACACAATTTCGGCAAGTTATTTTACAAATTTGCACATGTTTTACTTTTTGTCTTTATTCCTATTGTGTTTTTTTGCAGATATATTTTTATTTATATCTGAATTTTTACCGCACACCCATCCACGACGATATATATATATATATATATATATATATATATATATATATATATATATATATATATATATGTGTGTGTGTGTGTCTCTCTCTCTCTCTCTCTATATATATATATATATATATATATATATATATATATATATGAGAGAGACATGGAGAGAGACATACACACACACACATATATATATATGTATGTATGTCTCTCTCTCTCTCTCTCTCTCTATATATATATATAGAGAGAGAGAGAGAGATAGTTAAGGTTTTAAGATGTTTAACATCTTAAAACCTAACAAGAAGAGATCGCACATTGTATATAGTCCATTTTGGGACTGAGAGACCCTGTTGCCAGTGGCCGAAGTTCGATCGGAACCAGGACTTCGGACTTTAATTTTCAAAGCAGTTTGCCTCACTGAAAAAAAAAATCATTCATATTACCTTGTATCGTTCTAGGAAGTCAGCACTGACGGACACACATACACACAGGGGTACATGGAAAACAAGCACTGTCAAACGCGAACACACGTACACGAGTTAAGACACACAAACACAGACAGCACACACACACAGACAGCACACACACACACACACACACACACACACACACACACACACACAGAGCCGTCATGTAGCTTGAAAATGTTACACAAATGCATATTCTTTCAGTAAAACATAGATATTGTAACTGTACATTTTGTAAAAGTAGACGAGAGAAGATAATGGCGTAAGTTATATGCGTGCGACAGGGGTTTAGATAGATAGATTTGAACAGGTTGTGATAGATAGATAGATAGATAGATAGATAGATAGATAGATAGAGCTACTTTGCTATATAGATAGTAGTGAATAAACTGGAACGGATAAGAATAGGCTGAGATAGTAGCTATGAACAGATTCAGATAAATATGAAAAGAGACAGCCATATATACAGACACACACACATACAGATATATATATATATATATATATATATATATATATATATATATATATATATATATATATATTTAGATAGATAGATAGATAGATAGATAGATAGATAGATAGATAGATAGATAGATAGATAGATAGATAGATATGAACAAACTGACACAATTATCCATTAGTTATGAACGCAAAACAAATAGATCGTTCCCTAGCCTATGACACCCATCTTGTCTGGTGGCTAAAGTAGTTTCCTATTTATTCACAGCGTTAATCCTGATATTTCAAATGTAGCTTTAAAATGGAGGCAGTTGTTACGGTTATGAGCACGAAAATTAAAATCAGAATGTCTGAACAGCATAAATGACTTGCTTCTACCCATTCTTTCGCCTTGGATGGCAGCCAATCTAAGAGAAAGACGACTATGAATTCAAAATTGTGGAGGTTTGAGCGGGAAACCACTCTTGCACCTTTCTTTAGAAGATGTACAAATTCAAAGATAATAAAGATTTTTTTTTACATTTTGAACGGAAATGGCAGTTTAGAAAATAAATAAATAAACCTCATCGAAATCCTTCCACTGAACTAACAAATTGATACTTGCTACCATCTCTCTCTCTCTCTCTGTATATATATATATATATATATATATATATATATATATATATATATATATATATAAGATTTGATATTTTAGATTTTGTGATATGATTACAAAGACCAATGAGGATAAAACACTTTCGGAAAAACAGAGGTCGCTTTAAATGCAACGTTAGTAGATATATATTTAAGGAAAAAAATTAATATTTCATTGTGATCATTTGTAAACAGTAGAAAAATGGTATGTCCAAAATTAATGGCAAAGGAAAATTAATGACCCAGAAAATTTAATGTCACAGAAAAATTAACAGTCAAGAGATAACTTTCTTGTTAAACTTTTACTAAATTAGCACAAACATTTGCAAGTATATTTAACTACGTTTGGTGTGCATAAGCTTGAAGTTGTTACAAATTAATTAGTTTTCTGACTCAATTTTCAATTTATCCCATATATTTACAAATGGATTTAAATCGGGACTCTCTGAAGGCGAACGTAAAATCTTTATATTCTTATCCTGAAGATATTTCTAGATTAATCTAGATGTATATTTTGGATCATTGTCATGGGAAAAGTTTCACCTAAATTTCCAGATTTCTTTTAGCAGGTACTTTCAAGTTGACATCAAATATATTTCTCTATAATCCTCAGTTTTCATAATGCCATTAACTTCTTACCCAGGATCACTGTTCTTTTAGCAGAGAAAACCCTCAAGGCATGATAATCCCTTCTCCATGTTTTGTTGTACAGACTGTGTTGTTTGGATTGAAAGCCGCATCTTGACATTTTCAAACATACTTCCTGACATGATGTCACAAAAGTTGGATTTTCGTTTCACTTGGTTTTGAATTCAGAGTTGTCATTCTCCTTGACCGGTTACCACTCAAGGCTATAGGACCCAGTCTGTCCTGCTATTTACTAATAGGTGAACGGGAGAAGAGATCGATTCATACTTTGATGGACGCATCGTGGAGTAATAGATAGCGGCTCGAATTCAGAAATCTATGAACTGAGTTCGATAACTGCATTCGGATCCACAATTATCTCCACTCAATAGCCGTTTGAATAATTCGAAACATAAATGTAACCGCCCACCCAAATAACCGTTAGAATAATGCAATAAACCCACCTATAATGCACCACTGACCAGCATATATAATTTTAAACTTTTTAGGGTTATGACTTGTTCGATTCTGTTAAATTAACACAAATGTTTACAGGGATATTTTACCGTATTTTATGTACATAATCTTCAAGCTATTGCCGATCTCTTTGCTTTTCTTTTTACTTGTTTTTCCAAATTATTCCAATTTCAATTGGATTTCGGTTTAGACAAAGACAAAATCTTTATACTCTTATTCTGAAGATATTGTATATTTTGAATCATTGTGATGGGAAAATTTCCAACCAGATTTCTTTTAACAGACGCATATCCCTTGCCATTATGCTTCAAAAGTTTTTTTTTTTCATCTGAGCATAATATATTCTCCCAGAATTACATTGGCTTATCAACCTGTTCATTTGCTAAACGAGATTTCAAATGACTAGCCTTCAGAACAAGGGTCTTAAGAGGTCGGCACGATCGTAGGCCTGCAATTCTTTCATTCCAGTTGCTTCCAAATTATTCTTGAAATCCTTGGTTGTAATATTTGAATCATTTTTAACAATTCTTAGAAGACTGCGTTCCACAGCGATTGACATTTTCTTCTTTCTGTCAGGTTTTGGTTTATTTTCGACAGTGTCTTTTTTTTTCTATTCAATTTTAGAATGATTTTTCCAACAGTTTATTTCGGAAGAGTAAATGGTTTAAAAATTACATATCCGCATTGTAGGCTCGGATTATATTGTTTTGTTGTTGTTGTTTTTTGTTTTTTGTTTTTCTTCTAAACTATGTTCGGATGCCTTCACCATTATCAAGATACTTTGCAATTTTCAAACGTCCAACAGAATCCCAATGTGATAATCAGTAAGGTTTCGCCTGCAGGCTAAAGGTAGACTGCCTACACTAGCCAAGGAAATAGAATTTATAGCAAGCCCTGTTGACTAGTCCTAAGATCCCAATGGTTGCTTTAAATTAGCTGAAACAATTAAAATTCAAATGAAGGCTTAACTTCATTAGACGTTCTTGATTGGTGCTACGGCATTTTCACCACGATGAAGCAACTACTGCCAATTTTTTCTATACGTTAAGAAAAATTATAACATCATTGAAATCACATATCTAGATTGTTCTGGAGATAAATGAACAAATATGACTGTGTTAATATTTGTTAGCTAACTTAATAATATTTATTAATTAAGTTAATAATATTTATTATTTAACTTAAAGTATGTATGCAAGAAAGAATTATAATAATTTTCCTGTTTATATTTTTTGGACATAATATTTTTCTATATTTTATAAACTGTTAAATATACATTGTAGAAAGTTATGCTTGCGTGGATATATCTCCTTAACACTGATACCGGCCTCGTCAAAAATGAAGGCTCAGCAAAAATATTTTGAATTTTATATGCATACTCGTATGTGATATGACTCTCTCTCTCTCTCTCTCTCTCTCTCTCTCTCTCTCTCTCTCTCTCTACACACACACATATATATATGATAGATTCATATGTATCTTTTCTCTATATATGTATGTGTGTTTGTGTGCGTTAGTGTGTGTGTCTGTTCATATTTACCTGAATCTGTTCATAGCTATCTCAGCCTGTACTTATCCCAGTTTCTTCACATCTATCTATCTATCTATCTATCTATCTATCTATCTATCTATCTATCTATATATATATATATATATATATAAACACATATATATAATTAAATACATGTATATATATAAATTAAATACACACACAGAGAGACACACAGAGACACATACACACACAGACACACACACACACACATATATATATATATATGAATCAATGAAGACATGACAAAAGGAAAACTTTTTTACCAACGCGTTTCGTCCTCTGATAGAGCTTATCATTGCCAATGTAAGAATTTTATTTTTCAACATGTATTTATAAACAGAAAAAAAAAATGTCGTTTGGTTTTCAAAATATTGAAATTTAAGAACGCGCCAAAATATACTCTAGACTAATTATGAAAGTCAAGATAAACTATGGAGTGATGTAATTTAATGCCAAATAAACGAATATCTGTATATATGCATGTATAATTAATGCAAGATTTTACATACAAGTCTATATAATAATAATATGAAATTCAATAATAAAATGGATAAAACTTCTACATAACTAAAATTGTAACCGGCGTTTGTTTGTATTTATTTCTCACCCAATATGTGTGTGTGTGTGTGCGTGTGTGCGTGCCTGTGCATGACTGTATCAGCGTGTGTGTGTAAGTGGACATTGAAGTCAACATCCAGAGACGACAGTTTGCTTCATGCTTAAACTCAGTCGTCAAGCCATACGCTCTTTCCCTGATATTGAACACTTTAATCCATAAATATAGCCTACCTTTAAACTATATTTTATCATATTTAAAAAAAAAATCACTCCATCGTTAGACCCATTATTATTCTGAAGAGGTTCCGTCTAGTGACAAAACACATTACGTAGGATGTTTCCCTTTTGTCATTTGATCACACACACACACACACACACACACACACATATATATATATATATATATATATATATATATATATATATATATATATATATAAAGAATTAATGGATTTTATTTTAATCTGATGTATTTTTGTTTCTCTAAACGTTATTTTTAGTGGATACCTGCATTCAGACGCAGCATTTTCTTAACAGCATTTTTGTCTACCAGCCTGACCTGACCATTATAGAAAACTTATAATAGAAAATGTGCCCTCCGGTAGGATTCGAACATGCAGCGGTTTCTCCTGCAAAGTGTGACGCAGATTTGAATGCAGCCGGAGGGCGCATTTTTTAAAATAAGTTTTCTCGAATGCTCAAGCCAGTAGACGAAATAAAATACTGTTTAAAATAAGATTAACAACAGATGCATTTAGTTGCCTTAATTCGGTGGAAACACAGTTATGTTTTACTTATCAATAAAATGTTTGTTCATATCTCAATATGAAGAGAGAGAAATATGACAATGGTAAGAAAGATTGACAGAAAAAAAAGTGAGACAGAGAAAAAGCGAACTTTTATTTGCCGCCCAAATGATGACTCTCTCGATGTTTTTAAATGTTGGGCGAGTCCATTTAACCACACGATACGCTACACAACTCAAGGTCGCATCTTAAGGTGGATTATCCAGAAATTGGTCTTTTTTTCTCGACGATTTTAGCAGATATCAAGACGTAACTATGTCCTTATTTCTTTTAAAGACAGTGGGGAGCTGCTGCTTATGAGATGGATCCCAGGTGTCTTGTCCTCAATATGTTCTGGTAACGAATCGCAGACCGACTTTTTAAAGAGAAAGAGAAAAAAGAAAGAGAGAACAGAAAGAAAGAAAGAAAGAAAGAAAGAAAGAAAGAAAGAAAGAAAGAAAGAGAAAGTATAAAAGAGAGATTATGAGAGAAAAGGGAGTTTATGAGAGAAGAGACAGAAAAAAGGCAATGCAGAAGGGAGAGTATAGAGAGGACTAAGAATATGAGAGAGAAAAGAGAGAGAGAGAAGTGAAAATATAAATGTAAAAGAGAGGAGAGTTATTAAGAGAGACAGTACAAGAAAGGACATAAAAAGACAGGAAGAATAAAAGACAGAGGTGCACGCATGAGTGTTGTAAAGAACACGGTGTGTTGTTCCCGCGTCTATAAACGCGTATACAGCTCCTTGCATGTGTATGCCTGCAGGTGGGCTTATTATCGTTATTTAGCAAACTTAGCACAATATGGCACAAGGCCAAATGTCAGGGGGTCCCAGGTTAGGATGAAAGTCATTAGCTTTATTCTTTTCTGTATTCATTATTTGTTTACTAAGCTTAGGTTAGTATGGCACAAGGCAACAATATCTGGAGACTGAGGATCGAACTTACTACCTTTGGTCAATGAGAGGATCTTGCTAACGACAGCGTTACTCTCTAGACTCTGCACAATCAAAAAATAAAAAACAAAGAAAAGAAAAATTGCTACAGAAATTGTGCACTCAGATTCACATTTAATCATTACTCAACAAGACTCACTTAATTATTTGGTTTAATCAGTTAAGAAGAATCAAATTCACTAATGATCAGCGAGACAAACTTCATTGTTTACCCAATTCGAGTTATTTGTTTACTCTTAATTTGATACAAAAAAGTATAATTGTTGAGTTCTTAGCGGGGTCGACTTCTCTACTATAGTAGTTATGATTTTAATTTCTAAACCATTGTGTTTTGGCGAGGCGTTCAAGTTATGCATATACGCTAGGTTCGTCTGTCTGCATGTGTGTACACGTGGAAGTATAAAAACGGGAATTTTGCTTTGTGTGACGACTGTATATAAGATTGTGTTCGTGTCTGTGTGTTTGTGTGTGCGCGTGTGTGGGATTTTGTATCGAACTCTTTATGGTGATTTTCTGAGCGTAGCTTAGACGCGCTATAAGGCCGAAAGTAAGAGGCATCCAGTGAATGATCGAACTCACTAATCAGTCGAAATTGGTTTCAGGAGACAAGTTTGCTACACAGCGTCGAAATGCTCAAATTGAACTCTTTATGTTTAGATTTGATGACAAAAAACAAAAAAAAACATCCATGTTAATACCCAGTCCAATATTAAATTAAACTCATCTTTCAAAAACACTGTTTTGTTGAAAAACAGTTTTGTTGAAAAACACTGTTTTGTTGAAAAACACAAAACAAAACCAACTCTCAATCCGAATATTTTTCTGTTCAAAGACCAAACAAAAAACATTTTTTTTTACAAATACCAAAAATGTTTTAGTTTTCCTAACAATGCACAGTCAAAGGTGTGGGCAGCGTGGCAGTTATCAGCGCTGAAAGTGAAATCAGCTAGCCAAGTTCAAGCTCTGCTCTGGTCTGTTGTGTTCACTTCGCATCGAGGAAAGGCATGAATCCAGTACTTCTCCCTCTGGCAGTCAGTCTAGGTCAGAAGGACAATATCTGAATTCAAAACCGTGCAGAGGGCAACGGGAAACCACTCCGCTATATTTCCCAAGAAGTCAGATCAGTTCACAAGTAATATAAAGAAAATGAAACTATGGGGAGTCATGGCCACTTACGCCCTGAATAACAAAAAAAAAAACAAAAAACAAAGACGAAAACTACAACAAAAACAGTGGACTGAAAAATTACGAGTTATAGAACAAACTACTTAACATAATGAAATAAAAAAATTATCATAAATCATTAATGTTAGGTCACGTGATAATTTCGCTGTAAGTTTTTTTTTGTTTTTTTTTACTGTGCCAATGAAAACACTCCGGCTTTCATCAAAGTAATTTTCAAAGTTTTAATTTGTTTGCTAATTATTTAAGCTTTTATTTACAGTACATACAAGCAAAAAAGGAAAACGACAACTGAAAAAATAACAAAGAAATGAACAATGAGTTGTTTTTCATTCATGTTTTGAGTTCTATCTATATGTGATGCGAGCATTTTCAACCGACCGGCATCAGTTCGAGTTCTGGTAAAAGAAATTTTGTTTTTAAGTTGGCAGGCAGACTGGCCCGGTGCAAAACAATAATGTTTAGAACCCTCCTAGCCTCAAAACACCATTACTTCCCGCGCATTAGAATTTGGATTATGACATTTATTTTACAGTGTAACCCGGATATAAGAGAGTTGTCGGGACCGGAGAAGAAGTCTCTTATATCCAGGTTTCTCTTATATCCGGGTTTGGTCTATTTTGTTTAGGTAAGTATGGGAACACTTTGGGACCAGAGAGAATCTCTCTTATATCCAGGTTTCTCTTATATCCGGGTCTCTTATATCCGGGTTACACTGTAAATTGAACGCCTGGAACTTATGTTTTCAATCAAGAAAATCGGCCTTAAGGAATATGTTTACAAGTTAATGCAAATTCAAGAACCAATAATATTAATAAACTGTCTGTAGCGATTTGATACCAAAAATTTGATAAAATTTTATGTCTTTAAAATCTTCTGCATAAAACTCTACAAAAATACAAAATAATCCTCCTTCATCTCAGGATTTGTTAGGCTATACACTTCTTTGATCTTGGATTTGTATCTTTGCCTAACAAAATAGCTTCCACACGAGTTTTAGAAAGAGCAAAAGTATAATAAAAGACGGGCTCTCCCCATTTGGAAGTTTAATGCAACATAATTTTTCATTTCTTTTCATTTGCCTTTTTTTTTGGTGCAGGATTTAAAATGAACTTTTTAAAATAATCCAACATAAATGTCACAAGATAAATTATTTGTCAATCGCTTTCTTGTATAACTAACTGAATTTCATGCAAATTTTTCTTTGTAAAACAGTTGTTTGTAATTTTCAATTTACCGAAAGAAGTTTTTTTTTCAAGATTTAACAAAAAAAAAAAAAATACAGAAAGTGTTAAATCGTATTATAAAGCTTGATAAAAAAAATGACTTATTTCAAAAATAAAAGAAAAATTTTCAAGTTACTTTACGAATTAAAAAAATATATCTTTCTATTTTTCCAACTTTCATTTTCTTTTCTTTCTATCGTCAATGTGTTCTCCTCTTGGCGTTGACCCACACGTGCGCATGCGTACACAAGCGCACCTTGTCATGCCATATTGTCGTACTTGGGAGGGGATGAGGGTAGAAAAGGAACTCAGGAAAGCTGTGGACAATAACATTTTGTCAAGTCGACAACAACACTAAACTAAATGGGTACCTCAGGGTGGGGAAAAGGTTAACGAGATACTTTGACCATTACTAGTGATCGCCTTACATTGTGGTCTTGTGCCAAGCTAAGCTTAGTAAATGACAACATTACAATAAATTGAAACAAAAACAAAATAAAAATTGATTTAGCAATGAAACAATGAATGGATAAAATCTATGAATGAACAATAAAAAAGACAAAATAGATAAGAAAAAACACTTATCTTTTTTCCAATATTTTTAATTCTGCTGTTAATGTTTTTTTTTTTTTTTTTTTTTTTTTTGTTGTAAATTCCTTTTTCATTATTCACAATTTTTCGTAATTTTTATAATATATTTTTTTATATAGATAATTTTTGGTCATTCTTTTTCTCATTCATACAATATTTTCTTTTTTCCGTTTAGCTTTCATTTCATAGATTTTTTTAATATTTTTCAGTCTGTTCTGAAATTGTTTTTTTGTCTTTAAAATTCTTTTGTACACGTCTGTTTTTTTTAGCGTTTTTGCAGTAATAAAAAAATCAATTTTTAATATATATATATATATATGTAAGTAAATTATATTTTTGTGCATTATTATCATAATTATTTAATTTGTTATTTATTAATATTTTTATTATTATTATTATTATCTATACTGTTAAAACAATCACAGTCCGTAAACTTGTTTCAATTCTATTGTCTTTCATTTGAACACTACACAGAGAAGCATTCGATGTCAGATTTTCAGAAACAACGCGGGAGGAACCGGAAAACCCAACAACTTTAGCACCACTGTTATTATTATTATTAGTAGTAGTATTAGTATTATTATTATTATTATTATTACAGATATTGTTCGTATTAGTGTTATTACTACTGTTGCTGCTCTCGACATTTTTTTTACTGAGACTGTCTTCCGTAGAACCAGTGAAGTCGCTTGTATTATTTGATAAAGAAGATTGAGTTGCGTGATTAGACAACGTCGTCGTCGTTGTCGTCGTCGTCGTTGTCGTCGTCGTAGTCGTAATAGTGGCACTGGACGGCGACTGTAAACTGTTATTATCACTCTCACAACTACTACTACTACTACAACTACTATTACTACTACTACTACTCGAATTAACACTGTTTCTACAGTCTGTCATATTAATATCACAACTATTGTTAAGATGTTGGCTGCTATCACTGTTCGTGCTGCTCAAAGTGTTCCAGTTCTGCGTAGATACCCCTGAGCACGAGCTAAGGTACCCTCCTTGTTGATGTTGGGGATAAATGTCTGACGGAGCGATCGTCGACGAAGATGTCGACACGTTTGTTTTGATGAGGGTGGTCGTTTGCGGCGACGTTGAGGAAGGATTGGCGCAGCTGTTTTCAAGGTTGGCGCCGACGACATCGGCACAAAGATGACCATCACCTCCCCCTCCTCCTCCTCCTTTGTCACCGCCGCCACCACCATCGCCTTCTTTTGTTTGGTGTTGAAGTTGACGTGGGTGGTGTTGTTCTGGGAGGTGGTGGTAAACATTGGGGTGGTACGGCTGTTGTTGTTGCTGCTGCTGTGAGTTATCATGAAGTGACCCGACTTTATTATGATGAAGAATGTCCGTTGTTTGTTGTTCTTGTCTGTAGGGGGTGCTGTTGGCACCCCCAGCACAGAGACCAGAAAACCCCGTATGAAAAATGGACACTAGATTATTTATTTGATTTGAACAATCCGGAGTTGACGAGGACTGCTGTTGTGGATGGTGATGATGAAGTTGTTGCTGTTGGTGTGGTACTTGGAATAAGTGTTGCTGCTGTTGTTGCTGATGGTGATGATGATGATGATGATGGTGGTGGTGGATAGGATTGTTGTTATGAGGAAGATTGTGTTGTTGTTGCTGTAGCACATGTGAAGAATTCTCAACTGATGATGTCGATGTTGACGTAAGAGTCGTGCAAAGGGACAAAGACGACGACGACGTGGGTGACATAGGTGACGAGGAGGCTGACCCCATAGCGCACGAGGACGAAGTGCTTGGGTCGAATTTGTTGTTATGGTCCATGAGAACAACGCAGTCACCTAGTCGAGTCCTCTTGGGGCTGGCCGGACTGAATGCAGATGAATACAATGAAAAGATAGGCGAAGAACAGCTGTTTGATATTGACGAGGCAGAGCCCTCGATGTGACTTGTGTTGATAGCGACCCCACCATTGCAACTGTTGTTGGTCGTCGTACCGTTTAGCATCATACCTGAATTGTTATTGTTTTCACAAAAGTCCGATGTGGAATCGAACGCGGGTCGTTTCCTTTTCACACATTTTCCACTGCCGACTAAAAATGACGGCGGAGAATTCACGGCAACTCCAGCCCCGGTACGATCATAGATACATGAGGACTGTTGTTGGCTGTGACCCTCTCGGTTTCCACTGCCTGATAAACTTGTAGACGTGATCATACGATCATTATTTTCCGGATATGCAGTGGATTCTGTACGAGGAGTGTACATATAACAGCCGCTTGTGGGGACTGTATGCATCTGCTGTACGTTGTGAAGTTGTTGTTGCTGGTGATGATTCAATAAAGGTTGTTGTTGCTGTTGTTGTTGATGGTAGTGTACTTGGTGAGGATGGTGTAACTGGTTGACTGACGGGGACCCCATACCACCGTACAAACCGGTGGTGTTATTATTACTGGTATTACTGTCTCCATTTAATGCGTGATTTCCACATAAGCTCTCCAGGTCACACTCCATCAGCACCTGTGAGGGCGGCGTGTTTTCCTTGTCGTCGCCTACACACGAGTTGTCTACGACGACGTATTCAGACACAACGGGTGGTACGTTGACCATCTCCACCGGCTTTGGTCGAAGGGGTACTTCCATCATATTACTACCGATGTTACTACTATTGCCATGCTGACAGCTGTTCAGTGTGCTGGGTGTTAGCGTGCCCATTGGCGAAGGTGTTGACTGGCAAGGTCTACTTGTATACGTGACCACCGGTCCTACATTGTCCCCTACTTCTGAGGGTGCTGTCGTCGTAGAAGTGACCGGAGAGAGACGATCTAGGCAGGGTACATGATCAACGGAAATCCGACATGTGTTGATACGATTCTCGTCTCGGTGTGTGTCCATCGTGAGTCCAATGTTCTCATGGGTGCTATTAATTCTAACATGACAAGACGGTGAAGCCGATGTCAGGGTAGAGTTATTAGTGTCCATAGCACAGGTTGAGACGGGTCCCGGCGCTGCTGGTGGCATTTCTTGGTTTGTAGTTGACGATGCACAGGTTACATTAGAATGTTGAAATTGTTCTTTATTGTTATTGTTAGCGATACCGTGGTTGGTATATGTGTTGCTGTACAAGTGAGTCTGAATGTCCATTTGTCGATTTTTCTTGGTGACAAAACATTGATAACTTTCCATCATGTATACAGTTCGGGCCTTTTGCAATACACTTGCTACAAGTAGATTTTTGTGCAAATTAATCCCACCTCGTTGATTACGGGAGGCGGCAATTTTTCCCAATGAGAGAGCAATAAGTTTTTGAGCCTCTGTGGCCATCATATTTGAAGTTTTCAAATGGTTTAAAATATTTTAAAAAAATCAAATAAATTCTGTTCTTTCTTTCCTTCTTTTTTTTTTTTTTCTCTTTTTTTTTAAATGTCCGTACTTCCTGGCTGGTTGTTATGGTAAAATCACCTATAATTGTAAGCACATATACAAATTATATTATCAACTATAAACTGTTTGATAATATAACCTCAAGTAAAGAAATATAATTGTTTGTATTTGAACCAATTGAGTGTGTTTATGTTTTTTACAAGTTCGTGAAAGTTAAGTATATATATATAAATATATATTTATAGTGACAAATATATATGTATATATATACACCTAACAGTTGTCTGTTGTTGTTTTTGTGCGAATAGTTTAAATATGATATTAGGTTACATGTAGAAAAGAGCAAGCCGGAGGGAGAGAGAAATTGAAAATCTCCTCCTCTCTACGCAAGCAAAACACGATGTGTTTCCAACCTGCTTACTTGTCTCATAGTGAGCAGTTTAGGGCTCGTCGTCTGATGATATGATTCTGTGTTTTCAAGTAGATGACGTCAACACCACACAAGCCAGCCAATCAAACAGCGGAAACGACTTTATGGAATGTCAAACGTCACTGATGAGCAGCCAATCAGTAGGCAGCTCTCAGACTTCGCTTGAAAGTTCGTTTTAGTTTCCCAGTTCTATTAATAGACTCTGCCAAATAAAGGAGTTGTCATAGAATCAGCACTAGTCACCTACTGCGTGTAGTCTTCATCTTCTTCTTCTTTTTCGTCTTCTTTTTTTTTTTTAGGCCTTTATCTTCTGTCTTCCTTTTACGCTGTTTTTCATAACTTCTTTTTTCTGCTTTAAAAGTTGTGTTCTTTTTTCTGCTCTTCTTCTTCTTCTACTACTACTTCTTCCTTTCCCGCTTTCAGTATTCGTTCACATCTGCGGTTATTTCTTCGCTCACTCATTCACCCACATTCTTCCTATCCGCGACTCTTGTATCAATGTATATTGTATATTGTACATCAGGAGCTGCCGTACTTGTACTCCTAATCCCTAACACCGTGAACGACAGACAAGTGCAGTGTAAAATGGCTTATCTAGAAAAGACGTCGTCGTCTTCTTCTTCTTCTTCTTCTTCTTCTTCTTCTTCTTCTTCTTCTTTTACTTCTTCTTCTTTCAAGACACAAACAATCATGTTCGGCTCCAGATCCAGTTTTCCAACCTCTGAGGGGGCATCCAGTTCTCAGAAAGTCTTTTAGGCTCCATCATACAGTTAATTAGTAAACATCGCGTTGTTTACTATGATTTACTATAAGACGGAACACTTAAAACAAAAAAGCAGGCGCGTATGAGTCAAGTGTAACAACTTAAGCGAATGAACCTTATCTTAAGCAGCAAAAAGGTAACCTATTTTTAATTAAAAGTACCGAAATATATTGTTCTAGTATCCTTTTTGTAATCTAAACAATAGATTTATTTATAAGATAATTAAAACAGCCCTTGTTCTCAAAAACTTCCCCCGATGCAATTTAAATACCATCAACAACTGGGATTTTATTCGTCTTCTTAATGATATAACAACTTATCTCTTTTTTAAAATTTTACGATGACAATTACAATAGGGTATCACTTGTGGAGAAGGCAAGGAGTCATAGAAATTCACAGATAATAAAGAAAATGAAGCTGTGGAGAGCCATGATTGTTTATATCTTGAAGGAGGATGAACTTTTTAAAAAATGCTTACCCATATATGAATAGAAACGTGACTGGAAATACTAAACTGCCCTTTAAGCAAATTTGGGCACACTATCATCTGTTAGTGACGCGGAAAGTGGAGTCTGCGAACGGAGTTCAAATTCCAGCTTAATCTGTTGCGTCCATTTCCAAGGGAAGGCATAAATTCTTTTATTCTTCTCCCCAGCCATAGGTTAAGTAACAGTACCGATTGGGCTCTCTAGCGTTGGATGGCAACCAGTCTAATGGAATGAAAACTATCCGTGAAGAGGTAATAGGAAACCACTCCACTATCTTTCTCAAGCCGTAATCGCAATTCACAAATAATAAAGAAAAGGAAGCTGTGGAGAGCCATGGTCTTGAAGATTGATGGCATTTTAAATATTAGTCTATATATGTATAGAAAGGTGTGCAAATATATGAGATTTAATAACCGTAAAGTAATTTTTAACATGGGTCTTAGTTTTGTATTCCCGGTTTTAAATAATCCCAGAAGGAAACATTTTTCCAAACTTAGAAGTGATCTCAAAACAAATTACAAACACCCAGTGAGGCTCAAACTCATACAAACAATAATAGTCTGCTAACACTAACTCGTTCACCACTACACCTTTTTAGTGAATATTTATTTCGTTGAATAAACTGCTGGTGTTAATGACAATTATTCATTTTCAGTAATCCCAGCAGTTTTTAACTTTCCCTGAAGATCAATCTGTAGTATCTGTTCGAGCTTCTAACGTACTTGAATTCGCGAGTTCGGTCCCGTGTTGTGTCAATAGGCATTCAATGTTTTCATAGAACGCTTATCATAAATATGAGAGAAAATTTAGTGGATAATCAGTTTAGAAATAAGTTTTTGTTGTTAAAGAACGTTTCTCGTTTGTTCCAATGTGAGACAAACTTAAAATACTAAACTGAATTCGTCTTGATCAAGCCGAAACTATATATTTCCACGTATGCGATCTGAATGTGTGGCTAAACTTAGTCTTTCTATTTCATCTTTTCCGACATTGGCTGACAGGAATTTGCTGTCAGCACATGCGCACACACGCACATGCAAGTAGGATATGTGATCACTTATCAGCAGAAGGAATTTCCTTTTTTCTTTTTTTAAATGAAGTAAAAAAAAGTTTCACTTTTAAATACTTCGCTTGTAAATAAACTTACTATTTCGTACTTCTTTTTAAAATACTGTCTCTTCGGGATATATATGTAGTGTCCATAAACTTCGTGTGCAGTTTAAAGTTATAAATTTTTTTTAAAGTGTACACGAATATTATGGATACTACGTATATATATATATATATATATATATATTGGAATATTGTGCGAGTTTTTATCAGTTTTTTTATGCCGAAAATAGCGGGTCGCACTATAGACAGATAATTTACGTGAAGAGGTTAAAATCATGCATTTTCGGTGACCAGTTGCACACAGGCAAATCCTTTCCTGGAGGCGTTAAAATTCATGCCAAAAAACTCTGGGGTTGCACTGTACATGGTGTCGACTTATAAACGAGTATACACGGTGGGCGATTCTGTTTGTTTGTTTGTTTGTTTGTTTGTTTTTTTTTTTTTTTTTTTTTTCATAGGTCCTTTTTCTTTATTATCTGTGAAATGCTATGCTTTCTTGGGAAAGATAGTGGAGTAGTCCGGTTGTCTTTTCCTTGTTTCAAAGTTTCCTTCCCTTAAACTGATAGCCAATCAGGGCTAGAAAGCCAAGTATACCTTTCTATTTAGCCTCGGTGGGAAGTAGAAATGGAATCATACCTTTCCCACGTGCATTATTGCGGAAGTTTGTGCATCTGACGAGTCCGAAGTTTGGTTCCGGTACGCTGATTCCTCTTTCTTCGATGATAGCAGTTACACCACCCGCACATCCCATTTTGTAGATAGAAAATTTGGAAAACGTTTATTAACGCCCTGTTTAAATACTTTGACTAATAAAAAAAAAAAGTTACCGTTTTTTTTTTAAAATCGGAGGAGTCTTTTTAGTCACAAATATTTCAAATAGAGACTCCCTATTTTTTTACTTGGAAGAGGTGAAATGTATACTCATTTTATAAATATTTCTGTATGTATGTGCGTGCGTGTGTGACTGTGTGTGTGTTTGTATGTGCGCACACCTGTCGTGGTTGTAGGGGACGTAAACGTGCCGATAAAGAGCGCGCAATCCTTAAATATATGCGTACATTCATAAATATGAACATATTTTCAATTTACAAATACGCCTACACAAGTAGGTCAACTGACGGGCCGAGTGTTGCGATTTTTGAGCTCCGGGAGTGCTCACTAATTGCTACCTTGTGCCATACGAGACATCTATTTCAGTCTGTTCATATCTATCTATCTATTTACCTATCTCTCTATGTTCATTATTTATATCAATCTACCTTTATGCCTATCTATCGATACATACATACATATATATATATATATATATATATATATATATATATATATATATAAGAACAGCAAAGATCGTAAGCACTTAATATAATTTGTAGCCCAGTATATTCTAGACGAGTATATACGGTAGGCGATTATGACTTTTCATAGATCCTTTCCCTTATTATCTGTGAATTGCCAAGCTTTTTGGGAAATTATAGACTATTATTTGTCTGACCTTAACGCACGGTGTATATGAAAATCATACATCTTATAGATAAATCTTTTGAAGTTTTGTTTATCTGTTAATATATATATATATATATATATATATATATATATAATATATATATATATATATATATATATATATATATATATGAAGAAATATAGTCTTAAGGTGTGCTATATTTATGGGATAAAGTGCTCAATATCAGAAATAGAGCGTGTGTAAATATAAAAGTGAACACAGAAGTCAACACTTAGAGGCGACAGTCTGTTTCATGCTAGATGCAATCGTCAGGCCACGAGTGGCCTGACGATTGCATCTAGCATGAAACAGACTGTTTGTTTAAATACTTCTGGTGTCTTATCAAGTGATGGTGTTGAATGTAGAATAAAGGGTAAATACCATCACTTGAAAAGACACCAGAAGTGTTGAAACAAAATGGTTATTTTTGTAGTGATTTTATAACATATGTATGTTATAATTTTCGATTAAATAATTATATTTGCTCTACTCTGTATTGAGCACTCTTTTAAGAATAGTATTTGTTGTTTATTGGAATTTATTCCGTATACTTGGGTATATATATATATATATATATATATATATATATATATATATATATATAATCTGTGTGCGTGTGTGTTTGTGCATGTATATAGATATGTTACCTATATATATATGTAAGTGTGGACACTGTGGTCAACCTCGAGTGGTGACAGTTTGTTTCATGATTAAACGCAATCTTCAAGCCATTGGCCAGAAGATTGCGTTCAAATATTAAACAGACAGCCGCCATTCAGTGTTGACCTTAATATCTGCTTTTATATTTATACACGCTCTATGCCTGATATTGAATAATTATTGCCATGAATATAGCACAGCTTAAAACATATTTTTAATACCCTCTCTCTCTCTTTCTCTCTCTCTCTCTCCCTCTCTCTCTCTCTCTCTCTCTATATATATATATATATATATATATTGTTTCATGTCCTTTCAGGACGTGGAGTAGTAAGCCTCTCTATTGCTTGCATTTTAAATTATGCATTGCTATAATTCTCTTTGGAAAAAGAATGTCATGGATTCCCTTTCCTTCTCCCAGATTTGTTACCAATCTAGCCCAGAGGATAAAATCTGGCCTGATATTTAACCCATAGCTGAGGGGAAGGTGCACATTACATATATCTCAGAAAAATACTTCCCACATAATGGTATGACACTAGTGGCAATGATAATCTAGCTAATGTTTTACCATTATGTGGGAGGTATTTCTGGGAGATATATATGAGATGGATTTCTGTCGCACTCTGAATATATATATATATATATATATATATATATATATATATATATATATATATATATATAACGTAAGATATATGAATAAAGATAAAACTGGAACAACTCAAGTTTCACCTTCAAAAATGAATGATCGTCAGGCTAGTGCTACGCCTTATTTGTAAATCCAATATATATATATATATATATATATATATATATATATATATATATATATATATATATATATATAGACTTTTCGTTTCTATAAACATTATATTTAGTGGGATGTTTTTTGTCCTTTCTATTAAACAGTGAAATTAATGTCAACAGATAAAACTAATGTCGGGTTAAAAAAAAAACGTCGGATTAAAAAAAATCTATTAATTAATTCCTAATATGTGTGTACGTGTGCGTGGGAGGAAGAGAAGGTTAATATATGTACTAAAGAAACAGGCTGTACATATTTGGCACATAAATTAATATCGTGAGCATACACATACATACACACACATACACATATTTGTGTGTGTGATTGTATGTGTGAGAAAAACAGAGAGAGAGAGAGAAATAGTGAGAGTGAGAGAGAGAGAGTGCGAACGACAAGAAAGAGAATGCGTGTATCAATGATTCA